CTTCCGCATCCGCAACTGCAATCCCAGGAGCTGAGGGCGCTGACGCCGGCACCTCCAAGAGCTTGGGCACCGCTCAAGTGGCAGGTCTCGCAGTCGGTATTGCAGCTGCCCTCGGGATTGCCATCCTCGCCATATGCTTCGCCCGCCGCAAGCGCAGAAAGGACTATCCGGATGAAAAGACGGGCTTCTTCCCCGTGCGAGAGAAGGACTCTTGGGAATTCCACCCGCAAGAGGGCCCCGCCAATATCTTTCACATTTCTCCGCCTGTTCACCATGCGCAATCCCCTTCTCCGCCACCGTTACGCCAGCCCCCGGCGGCGCGTACCCGGACAAGCGGTCGCATGAGCTGGTGGCCCGGCGCGATCGGCCTTGCCGTCTCCCGGCCTGAGAGCACATCAGCTGCCTACCGTCCACCACCTCAGGCGCAGAACCGCCCAACGTCACGTCTCCTCCCAGCCAAGCCTTCTCTCTCGTCGCCAAAGCCGGTACTTTCCCTCAAGATTCCTGAGATAGACCTCACACCGTCATCGCTCCCTCGGGCGGACCAAAGCGGATCTGCACCGACAAATTCCCAAATTTTCAAGACGGCCAAGCTCACAGCGCCTCCAAAGAGCCACTACAATGCCCGCGAAAGCACAATGACGGAATTTGAAGAGGACGGCGCTATCACCTCGGCGCGCTCGGCTCGCTCAAACAACATTTGGAGACCGCCCTCGGCAACAGTGGGAAGCAATAATAACGTTCCCAAGTCTGCCACGTACTACGTAGCTGACAAGAACGGCAATTGGGTCCTAGGGGACCCCAAGAGCGCCACGCACATGGCACAGATCGCCGAGCTCGATGCGTCGGGTGCGAGCCAGGGTGGTGGCGCCAAAGCGAAGCCCTCCTATGCTGAGTCTGCCATGCTCGCTGCCACGGCCACGACTGCGGGCATGGGCCACGGAGCCGGAAGCCCCGTTGCTCCCTCCGGTCCCCGGATGATGCCACCACCCCCAGTTCTTCTTCCGCCTGTCGAGATCGCTCGAACCGGTGCCCTTGCCGCCCCGCCTGCGGCTCACCAATCCCGAACCTCGAGCGTCTACTCGCCTGCCACCACGAGACCCAACACAGTTATCCAGAATAGCGCCCCGTCTGCTGGAGCTCCCCACCCGGTGCCGAGCATGTCGTTCTCTCATCCCGAACCTCCACGCCGCCGGAGTAGCTCTCTCGGCCGCCGCAGCTCATCAAAGTCGAAATCCACAGGGTCCGCCACTGCTCCTTTCCCTCCTCCCGCTGCATCAATATCTACAGGCGCTGGGAACCCACCACATCGGTCTGACAGCCATGACTCCCACGCGTCAGCCACGACAATCGCGTCCTCCGTCGCGAGCGAGGCCGAGCCCGTGATTGAGCAAAGCGGTCTCTCCCCTGTCGTGGAGTCACCTGCCTCAAGGGGATCCCCAAATGTCGGACACTCACCCGTCTCCTACCCCGTCATCCCCGGCCGCACCAGCTCCAAGCCTGGCTACAACAACCTCCGCCTGCTGGCTCCTCCCGCTCGGCCTTTTGCTGCGTTTCCCGCCGGACAGCCCAGTCCCACGCTCGGGATGATGCAGCAACAGCAGCAGCAGCAACAGTCCCGAAACGGACCGTACATGGCCAGCCACGACGTCCCCCGTAAACCCGTCGGCCCTCGCCCCCGCCCAGCCGGTCCCGTCACCGACCCCAGCAGGATCGCCACCGGGTCGCCCTCGCTCCGCCTCGTGACCCCGTCTCCTCCCCGTTCTTCCTCCTCCGATAACAGGAACAATTCCCAAGGCCTCCAGCAAGAGCCCCACTGGGAGCCCGCGCAAACCCAGAGGCCGCCGCAGATGAGACCCCTCTACCCGCCGCCTCTGAACCCCAAACGGCCCAGGCTCGAGCGCAACGACGACATCCACCCGCAACCGCAGGCCGCGCAAGTCCAACAGGCGCCATTTCTTAACCAGGAGCCTCAGCCGAATTCGGTCCATAAGGCGCTCTGGGGGAACCTCCCTCCTCGAGCCCAGCAGCAGCAACAGCAGCAACAACAGCAGCAGCAGAAGCCAGCTCCCTATTCTGGTCTCCCATCACAGCAGCAGCCTCAACCTCCTCAGCAGAGACAGCAGCAGCCCCAGCAACAGCTAAATCAACAATCCTTCCAACAACGTCAACGCCGTCTCTCACAGCAACAACCAAACCGCCAATCCATCCAACAACCCCTCCCCCCCAAATCCCCGCCCCCGAAACAGCCCCTGCCCGACAGACCATCCTCCGCCTCCCCATCACCGCACCACATCGCAACGCAAGCCATCCGACCAACCTCGACAATCCTACAACCACCACCACCGCCAACAATCCGCCCCCCCTCCGCCTCAACAACCGCCTCCCCCACCGTCGCAACCCCCTCAACAACATCCTCCCTCCTGTCCAAACGCCTCGGCTCCGAACGCGCCGCCGCCCTCACCCTCCCCAACGCCGGCCTCCGCCACAGTCCCAACTGGAGACCCGTTCGCCCAGGGGGTAACGGAGACGGAACGGATATGCTCCTCTCCCCCGACGCCGCTCTCTTCCCTACACCTCCCGGGTTCCCATCCCGGACTGGCGGTGGTGGCGGCGCCGGGCGCGGTGGTCACTTGCCTGCTACGCCGACCTGGCAGCCGAGGCTGACGCCTACTCGACGGGGCGATGACTTGTTCTTAAATGTGCAGTGATTCAAGGTTGACAAAACTTGCATCTCGTGCCACCTTGGACGAGAACTACAGGAAAGGATTATAACCATCATTTTTTTTTCTTTTTTATACGTGACGAAGACAAAGAACTATCTATACCCACACTCTCTACGATATTTATCGACATTTTCTTTTGCATATCTGTATCCGTAGCACTTTCCTTTTCACTACTCTCTTTAGATCTGATAATATTGATAAGATGGACGGAGGGCGAATGTAGATGAAGATACTCGGCAGATGAGCTTGCATTACCGGAGTTGGTTTCCGAAAAAAGGTTTTTCATTCTAGCTCTTCTACCAATATTGTGTATACTAAGGTACATTGACTACGAAGTTTTGGTCTTTCTTCCGTCAAGAGTGTCTGCTCGTCATTATAGGTGCTCTCATGCAATACCGTCCTGGAGACGGCCTCTTCTGCTCGTAGGAAATTCTACATTTATCTCATACCGAAGCACTGCAATCTTGTCTCTCATTCTTCCTTGACCATTTGACCTCTAAGGCATTCTCGTTCATTGTAGACATCCTCAGGCAATCGGGGCCGATGCCCACCTGACATGACGTCCTCCAAGGAGGTCATCTCAATAGAAGAGTGTCCACTTCCATCGCTTGTCGCACTTCGATGGTTTCGCCGCGAACGTGAGGTCCGGTTATGCTGGCTTCGCTGGCTCCGCTGACTCCGTTGGCTTCTTTGACTCCTCTGACTACCTCTTCTCACAAGGTCTTTGACATCGTCAACGATATCACTCATGACATCGCTGATTTGGTCGTCAAGTGCATCTATCCCAGCATCGAAAGCTGCTCGGTTCAGGTGCTGGTTAGCGTCTATGAGTTTGTTCCTCTTCCTGATCTCCGTGAAACGTGACAGACTACCGAGCTCGAGGACGTTGACTCGTCGTGTTTTGCTGGTGGGATTACCAACAATAAACGGACGCCATGGCTCTTCTTCAGCGATGACATCTTTGTCGTCCATCACCCCAGTTGGCATCGAGTCGCGGCGTTTGATAGATTCTCTGCGCGCAGCTGTCCACCTATCCATCGCCTCGGTCTTGCTCTCCGGAATGATCGTGACCTCCTTGAAACGAATCAGAGTCAATGTCAGTAGCAGTGTCAAAATGAACAAGATTCCAGCTACAACTCCCGTTGCTGCTCTCTGACCGAGGTTACGCTGGGCCATACCGCCTAGTGCAGTTGCTCCAGCAGCGAATATGAACCCCAGGGTGTGACAAACGGCAAATCCTGCAGTCACGCGAGGGTAGGCGGAGTAATTTTTCCTCTTCTGTGCGTTGTCCGAATTCCCCCGAGGCCGACCTGTCATACCAGACTGTAGATCCGAAGTGTCAAAGGTTTCCATGATGAGTCCATTGCATTCTGAGATTGCCAGGCACGAAAGAAAGCCGATCGCAGCGGCGACAATGGCAGGCGCAATCGGATGTATTGGTGGGCCAGTCGAAACCAATGTGTAGACGATCCCAGCCAGTGGGAGGCCAATGGCGAAAATGGATCGGCGAAGAAGGTGAGATGTCCATGTTACCTGTTTGTCGAATGTCATACGACTGGTGTTTACCTGGGTATGTCTCGCTCTGGAGAAGTAACTGGCCTTCTGGAATGGGATAGCAGCGAGTGCGCCAAATGCTATCGCAGATACCATGAGCCCGACAAAGGGTGACCGCATTCGGTAAAATCTTGAAGTCAGGGATCCCAGCAAGACGATGATGAGAACCACCTGGGCGTAAATCCAACCAGAGTAAATGGCCATGACAGCAAAACCGGGTTGTCGAAGCATCTCAAAGCAGAGTGCGACGCCATGATACAACTCCTCGCCCCACCACTTGGGTCCAGTTTTAACACGATGCATCATGATCTCGCCGCGAGCAACACGCCGGGAGACATCCGTGCCAGTTCTGACTTCCACGACTGATCTTCGGAACGCCGAACGACGCACCTCTGGACATAGAGTGTTCAGCAAAAGGGCTATTGCGGTCAGGGCGATACTGATATAAAACCCGGAGTCTGGTGGGAGTTGATCGATCACCGCGGCGCCAATGAGGAAACCAAAGCCAAGGGATGCAATGTAGCAGCATGTCCAGATACCGAGCCAGACACCCATACCACCTCCGTGCCTCCTTACATCAGAGTCATCCACAACCTCTTGATGAGGATTGCTGCTCATGAGAGATGCGCCGAAAAGGTCTGTAAGTATTGAGTGGAAATTCATGCTTGCGAAACCGAGGCAGATACCCATGAAGCCTCGCGGTACCAATAACACCATCCTCTATCCAGTGAGGCTGTAAAATCTTTGAGCGCTGACAGCCAAAGCCTGAGGGAAAAGAAGTGGCATGGATAGAATCAGCCCAGTCGTGATGTATGGCTTGCGCCCATGAACCAGAGGAAGTGGCCAGCAAAAGAATGTGGGAATTGCCATCCCAAGAAAGCAGCCCACATTGCCGTTGATGATCGAGTGGCTTGTGTCTAGGATGTAGTATTGCAGTGAGGGTACTAGGCCGGCATAGATACCGACAATCATACCGATCAGGGCCGTACTGATGCAAGCCACAGCCGCGATGGCTCTCTTTCGGACTGGTGACCAGTCCCGAGCAATGGGTTGACGTCGTTTCGACTTGGCTAGACTGAATGCCTGTACACCACGGAGACTGACATGAGACTTGCCTCGTAGGCTGATCCCTCGTGGATTGCGGATCGGACGGCCGCCCAAGTCCTCCTGAGGAAGATTGTCCTCGCCTGTGTTGCGGGATAAGAAGGGTACCCGTTTCGTGCTTGCTCGAGGTCGAGTTGGCTCGCTGCTTCCTTGAGCTTGATTTCGAGTCGGGAAGTTGACTGCAGAGGAGTCATTGGATCCGTCCATGCTAGACTCTGAATCTGTCGGGAGTTGCTCGACAATCTGCTTCGGCTTTGTGCGCTTCGATTTCTTTACGCTCTTGCTTCTCTTCCTGCTCGAAACTCTGTCTGGCACAGGTCCAGCTTGCCGGGATCGCGATTTGCGTCTACGTTTGGTTTTCTTGACAACTGAACTCTTCTTACGACCAAGCATGCTCTCGAGCTCTGCGGTCTGCGGAGTGAGAGAGATAGTACGGTAGAGATTGTCTACTGCACGGATTTCAGGCCGCCCGGAATGTGGAAACGTAGCAACGCGTTTGTTTCGTGGTCCTTTTGCTTTACCGTCATCATCCAAGTCGATGTCAGAGAACTGAGAGGCGTAATCATAGGGTGCCGCTTCCTTTGAGACAGCATGCGGAGATTGTATAGCCTCTGGAGATTTTGCCTCTTCGTCGTCAGCAACCCGAGAAGCCAGTGCCAAAGCTTCTTGAAGGAGACGTTCTAGCTCCCCGAAAGTGCTTTGGAAGAAATTCTGCTCAACTTCGGTAGTTGGAAGCGTCGGTTGACGGGTCATCTTCCGCGACACTGGACTTTGTTCCTGAGAGTTCTTCAAAGAAGCATAGAACGCTCTTTTTGCCTTGGATGGTCTTTCCGTCAACTTGGCCGTATGAGATTCGGGATTCTTCAGTAGATGCCGGAGCCACTGAGCAGTTCGCTTGTAGTCTATAGTGCTTGCTCGGGAGCGAGTTGTACTCTCCAAACGTGGCTTAGTGACTCTGCCGGGCCCCTCGGTTGCCGACTCATCTGATCCGACAGCAAAATAGGCATCCTCGTCTTTTTGGTTGCCGTTATCAGATTCGTCACTGAAGGGTCGAACTTTTGACACTCTTTGATGTCCAGCATGATGATTCAGCTCAGGGGGTTCCTGGGCAAAGGGTCGGACTTTGGAGACCGGGATATTGGTTAGCTTGTCCTTGCTCTCTTTGATTTCGATTTCTGTCGGTCCATTGATATCCCCTTCGGGCAACAAATGTTCCTTGGCTGGGTCAAACGGCCGGACCTTGGAGACTCCAGGAGGAGATTGCTGTTGGCGACCTATATTGGGGTACTCAAATGTTGGTAAATTGAACGCTGGCCGAACTTTCATGGCATGACTGTGTCCATCGTGCTTTGGGACGGTGACTTTGACTGTAGAGAGACAAAGATCATCTCCAGTCATAGCTCTGCGCACCTTGGCAAGAACAATTTCAGCCTCCGAAGAGGGAGATGACGAAGAAGAAGAAAAAGAGCTAGAAGTCCTGTTCTCAAGTTGCTGTGGAACAGGTTGCCCAGGAACACCGGTGTCGCAGAAGTCAGCACCTTTGAGAATACCACGGTGGTGAACCTTAGTATGTGACTCATCCGGATGGATCAGAGGGTCAACGCAGATGGTTTCCCGGGGAAAGTAAGGGTCGACGTTGGTCGTGGTCTCCATGAGACGTTGACTGACTGTAGGTACAGGATTGTCTTGCAACTGGGAAGGCGAGTACTTTCTCGATGGAATGGCAATCTTTGCCTTGTTCTCAAAGCTTTTTATGTCTTCTCGTGGGTTCTGCAATTGGCTTTCGCTGACTTGTCGACTAAGGACCGGGGGCACGGGTAAATCTTCGTCAACCAACAAGGGGCGCCCGGAAGCGGTCTTGAGGAGTGCATGTCGAAATTTACAACTTTTCGCCGAAGAAAAGCTTGAAGCGACGTCCTTTTCGGTTTTCTTCAGGGATATGTCCATCATAGAAGGTCGAGCGCTAGGAAGAGGTGTGTCCTCGAAGTCTCCTCTGGTTGCGTTGGATGGCTCTCGATTTCGATGTACGATATCTTTGGTCGGATGGAAGAAGTTGGATAACATCGCAGGCTTCTCCTCCTTTGGTTTGGGATTCAGTGCAAGCTCGGCCTGTGAGGGGCAGCAGAAACCGAGTCGGAAAGTGGTCGGCGGCGAATCTGAAGATCGAGAACTGACACTACGAGGTCTGCTGCCAAGCTTTTCTGCGGAATTGTAGCGTCGCAGAGCCGTTTGCTTGTAAGTCGACGTTCTGGGGTCCGTCAGCCGCTGGACTTCGGTCGGTGGCGTCAGAGACCGAGTCCTTGTGGCCTTAGACATGAAGTTCAAAAAATGGGATGCATGAGCATTTGATAAGCGCAGTAATGATAAATCCTCCGTGTGGAGGTGGCGTGATTCTAGGGAAGTTCCTTTTGATAGGAGGCCAAGGAACTGGGGAGGTTGTCGAGAGGATAGTGGTGCTGACGACAAAATCGGAGGGCCGATCTATTGACAGCGCATGTAGTCATTGTCACTCTTCCTTGTGCCTTCTGCAAGCACCGAAATTTGGTCGGGTAGGCTCCTTCCGCCAAGTAAAAATGATGACAATCTGAAGACGAGGAGGGGGTACCTGTTGAACCGTACCTTCCATCCCAGCTTTTGAATCATGTTGTACTAGGTATCTATCTTGCTCCAAAGATCTGGACGGCAATGAAGTACATGTATGCTTTTCTGGAGATTGAAAGTACATGGATACATTAGGATAACAACCCTCATTGCGTTCTGCTGTTGTGTTGCGCTGTTATAATACATGTATGCTGTTGTTGATCATGCACTACGTTTTCACCCGGTGATGAAGGTGCTCGGTGATTGCCAACTCGCAACCTTTGATGGCAACAATAGACGTGGGACAGCCTTGCTTGGACAGACGAGCATTGGTTCGTTGACCGGTTGACTCATACGGCGAGCCCCTTGGCTCCCGGGTCCGACCCTCCACTAACTACTCAAGTCTTAGTTTACTGGCGATACCTCAAATCAACCGGGAGAGCTTGTGATGTAGCCACATGGACAGTCACTTATATAAAACGCCTTCAAAGCGCACCTTTGACATGAAAATTACGAGTGGCACAGCAATGAGTCCATCGAAGAAGTTATTGAGGAAGGTTAGTGAGCCCCGTTCCCTTCCCATACATGAGATACTCCAAGAGATGATGATAATGGACATTCACTCGCCGTACTGAACTTACAATGAGGATATCGTCTATGGCACCGGTTTCGCCTCTAATCTGATTTCCTGGATATTCAGACTCTGTACTACTTAGGACATGGCTGTATAGGAGACTGGTCGCTGACTTGTCTTCAGGTTCTGCTTCAAAGAACACTCAAGGCTCGGCATAAGCCTTACTAGTATTGAACAAGCAGCATATAGCAAAACTTGTGTAAGTAATCATTTCCTCGAGACTTTGCTCTAGTACTTTGTCCAACCTCCCTCTTCATTTCCATATTCCAACACGAGGACTCTTATCAAGGCCATCGATGTAAGGAGACGGCCTCGAATATTGTTGTGTACATCCTATAAAACGCCAAGCTGTTGGTGGTCTGGGGTTGCAGCGTGAGTCATCCGGCCAGAACTCCCACCCAGTGATGCAGTGCGAGCCGACTTGGTGAGGGGCTGAGGCAGTTTGGCACCCCTAGAAAGCACTAGCATGGTTGATGACTGCGGCTTGACTTGTTCACGTCGTTTATTCATCCTAGCAGATCAGTTCGAGGATGATGCAACGCAATGGAATCCAACGAAGCTTGATTTCTGGTTAAGAAATGCCCAGCAACCTCCTTTAGCTGAGCCCGAAAGGTGAAGTCAGCCGCGCAGATTGGACAACGAGACTTGTTGATAGAATGAGCCGAGAGCCAGAAACCAACTATGACTTGATAATCAGATCAAATGAAGGGCGAAGTCTTCTCATTCTAGAGGGCGCGACGCTCATTGCCTCGGGAAGGCCGATTGAGCACAGCCGATGTTTCGAAGCCGAGATATAGAGAAGACTCATACATCCAGGAATTCGCTCCGAATGAAACCATTCACCTAGTTCAAAAGATCCATTGACACCCGAGTTGAGATCCCGCCTCGAACAGCAAGAGACCTCGAAATGTGTTCATTACATAAGATCACTTTGTGTTGTCAGAAGCAAAAAAAAAAAAAAAAAGAAGTGCAATCAATAACCCCACCCCGGCGTGTGCAGCGTTTACCCCAGATCAGGCGGGGCCACCCCTCGGTCGGGTCAGGGAAAACGCCTGCGAGACGTGCCTCGGCAACTCGGCCAGCCCCCCGTCCAGTCAGCCTCTTCGAAACTTCATCATCGCATTCGCAACATCCTGTCATCTGTACATTTGAGTGAGATTCACTTTCAACTCTACCACGCTCATCCTAAGCATCGCCGGGCTACGAACTCAGGCATACTCACATTATCACCCTGGCCATTTGCGTACCTTGATTTGAACATCTTCACATTGGTAGTCTCATCCAGCTCTCCGCCTCACCCCTCTCACCACGAAAACCTCACCAAAGGCAAACCCTTCCGCTCACTCACCTCACATCACACATACAAAGGCCTACATACAAACAAACAACACAATGGCACCCTTCAAAGACTACACCTACACCCACTTCCTCGTCACCTCCCCTTCCCCCTTCGTAGCCCACGTCGAGATCAACCGCCCGCAGAAGCTCAACGCCTTCTCAGAGCCCGTATGGCGCGAGTTCGCCACCGTCTTTGACCGCCTCAGCCATGACCCGGACGTCCGCGCCGTCGTCCTCTCCGGCGCCGGTGACCGCGCCTTCTCCGCCGGCCTCGACGTCCAGGACGCCGTCAACAGCCCCCTCGGCGCGGACCTCGGCGGCGACCCGGCCCGCTACGCAACGAACATGCGCCGTCACATTACCGAGTTCCAGGATGCTATCGCTGCCGTGGAGAAGTGTGAGAAGCGTATGTAACCTTTCTATTTATTATGTTTGAAACTCTGAGTTGTACCTTTTATGGCGCAAGGTTTCTCGTTCTGCTCGTTTTTGATATGGCCTTGATGGTTCTCAATATGAACGTGGACATGCTTCATAATACCCAAATCCAAATCCACACCAGTCTATGAGAACGATAAAACATTTAAGCTAACACTCACCCCCCAGCCGTCGTCTGCGTCCTCCACGGAATCTCAATCGGCATCGCCATCGACATCTCATGCTGCGCCGACGTACGCATCGCCGCGCGCAACACCCGCTTCGCCGTAAAAGAAGTAGACATCGGCCTCGCCGCCGACCTCGGCACTCTCAGCCGGCTGCCCAAGCTCGTCGGGTCCACGTCGTGGGTGAAAGACGTCTGCCTCTCGGCGCGGGACTTCTCGGCCAACGAGGCGCTCGCCGTGGGCTTCGTCAGCCAGGTGCACGACTCCAAGGACGCGGCCGTCGCTGCGGGAACGAAGTGGGCCGAGTTCGTCGCCAGCAAGAGTCCTGTTGCGGTGCAGGGTACCAAGGAACTGTTGAACCATGCGAGAGATCACTCTGTTGCGGAGAGTAAGTTAACATTCCATTTTGGGGAATGGCTATGCCCATTTATATTCTCCACTACCCTGAATTGGGCTTTGTTTCTTCATTGACTTTGCTGACTGTGTGGCTCTAGACTTGCGGTACACTACTATTTGGAACGCTGCCATGCTTCAATCAAGCGATACCAAGACTGCCCTGATGTCCGGGTTGCAGAAGAAGAAGCCTACTTTTGAGAAGCTCTAGTCAGCTCCCTTTAGGTAGACAAACGTGTGTCAACCCTTCCCTTTTGTGGAATTGCCACAATGATGCAGCCTCGTGTGAAGCAATTTGGATTCCATTCCTACAGACATTCCCGGGTCAGGGGACGGATCGTGATCCCCTCCTACAAACCATACATTATACACGCGCCATGATACTCAAGATGACATGACGGAATGCTGCTGCGGCGGCGAAAAGCACAGCGATAGGCACATGGCAGCCAGAATTTTGGAGACGATTGTCTCTAGGACACAGTAGAAGAGCAGTCGGAAGCAAATGAAGGCATGTACAGTAAAGACAATTGATACACCGACTGCGTGGGCGCTCAATCAGAGTCTGAACTCTCATCGGGCTGCTGGGTCTCCTTTAACCTCTGCAAGTTACGTGTGTCAATGACGTGTCTGATATATACACATATGATATATTCGTGTGTATGTAGAACAATAAAAGGGGTCACTAACCTCATCAAGCTGTCTCTTGAGCAAACCAACCATGTTCTCCTTGACAACGACGTGCTGGTCGTCGAGATCCTCAATGATGTAGTCATGGTTGTTGGAGTCGATATTGACGATGATGGACTTGATGGAGGGGTCGCACTCGATGAGTACTCCTGGAAAGGCGGGGCGGGAATGTTAGTAGGCCAGAGGAATATCTGGGGAAGGGCGGCTGGGCAGAGAGGGCAAGCATGTGGTGGGAGACATCTTACCTCTGATGGCGCGGGGCATCCTGGCGGTTTCGTTGGCGAGGTAGGCAAGGGGTGAAGTGAGTTATGTGCGGACGCAGTGACGCTATTCACACATATCTGTGTTTAAGCGAGCCTAACGTGAGGTATCCGTAATTACCTGCTTCGCTGCTGAGGTGGACGAAGCAGTGACGATGAGTTGCCTGGAGTTGGCGATGACATTTGGAAGAGAACAAGTGGGGCACTGGTCGACCAACCAGGTGTCTTGCTTTTGGTGCCTGGTTTGCCCAGAATCCACCAGTGTGCTTGCCTCACAGCAGCCTCAGGCCGTCGAATCCAAGTCAAGCTCTCCATCCGGTCCTGATGTGCAAGGGCCAATTTAAGCACCCCTGTCCGGACCCTTGACACCTCATCTGAACCCTCTTTTCTCTAGGGTCGCGTGAACAGAAGCAATCAAAAACCCGACTTTGACAGATTTTCTCGCGAGTCGCTAGACAGTTCTTTTGGAATTGACAAAGAGGGCAACTGATTCCTGGAATGCAGGAGCTGACTGTTGGTCGAGTATGCTTTGCAAATTTTGCATCCAGTGACTGACTGTAAGCTGCAGCTCGCCGTCAATCGAGAGCCTTTTCCTCATCGAATGCTCAACGGTCAACCGGGCTCAACCTGGCCACTCTAATACACATTTCCCAAACGGAAATACCGAGGCGAGTTTAATGAAGAGGTTTGAAGCTTCGGGTCGCAGGCAAGACAAGGTATCGTGAGCGCGTTTGCTCTGTGGTCTTTTTGTCTCTCAACTGTCTACAAATTCCCGAGTGCGAATCGGTCGAACTGGATTTGAGCCTGCGGGCTGTGGGCTGCGGC